TTGTTTCTGCTCAGGACACATTTTTAGAAAATTTAGAATCACTCCCATAAGCAAGTTTAGTGCTCCCTCTCGTGGCAGACTCAATTTTGACGCTAACTATTAGATGAGAGTCACTAAAGAAATGCTTTTCCTTATGGTTCATGTAAATTGCCAAACCTTATGTGACTAGAAAATAAAGCTTCGACAGAGAACTGGAAGTATTTTTTTTATTGACAATGGAGAGGGTTTCTGTTACCATTACCTTTTGACTGAATCTGTTAAACAAAAATAGACATCAAACAAATGTAATGTACGTGCAAACATAGCAAATTAAAATACAAAAGAGAAATTACTAATGACAGGTCTTGCGCTTAGTAAGATCAAGCAGCAGAAAATCAGCGGTTAGATAAATGGTATTATTAAATAGCTTTTACTTTGAAATCTCCCATATAAACAAAGAATAAACAACAGTAACACCACCAAATAAAGCCACAGGGAAGAGATTACTCTTCTATACTTTTATACACTATATATGTTAATCATTCTGTCTTTCGTTTATTTCCTCTGATAAAACTGACTTCAGGGAAGTCACAACAAGGCCATCTCGGCTAAAAGCTTATAACATTAGACATGAGTCTGGCTAATGCCCTGTTATATTGACAAAAGGAAAGGGTTTCTGGGGTTTTGTTTTTTCCATTGGAAATAAGCCTCAGACTCTGAAGTGGTTGACATTCACTGTCCCGTGCTGGCTGGCGGTTCAAGATATTTGAATGAACACATGGTTCTTAGTAAAGAAGTTTTTTCCCCCCTTGGTCCACAGGTAACAAGAGAAGATAATGGTTTTTTTATATAAATTTTTAAATAATTGCTTTTGACTCTTGTAAACAGTTTGGCTTTGTTTTGTATTGAAAAGGAGATCGAGCCATCACAGTGCTATTTCTAAAGATATAGGACATCCCTGATTGCCTTTAAAGGTCTATTTTTGGCTCCAGTTCCAGGTTAAATCATTCTTTTTTACATGATCAGAGGCAGGTGTTCAGCTTTAAGTATTGACAGATTGAAGGAGAAACATGTTGAAGCATGAAACATGCTTCAAGGAAACATATCGATTTGACTGTTACAATTCAAAAACTGTAAAAATGGTGGAATGGTAAAATACAAACAGTACTTGGAATTGTCAAATGTTTGCACTTGAGACTCCATGAACCATATATTTTATTTTTTAAAAAATCATATTTATATCCATTTACATAAGACACATTTAAAAAGAAATACACAGTAATACATAAATGTCTAGTATATTACAATAAAACATGAAAAAACAAGTGGCTTCATTTCATAAAAGCATTTGTTGTACAGAATTTATGATGTGGGTAATGTTTATTATTCAAATGACTTAACCATTTTATTACAATTGTAGTAAACTAATCAAACTTATTATCTGACTCCCCCCAAATCACATTTTTCAGCTTTTAATAAATCGTCACTTTGTTGTTATTTTCTTAGAATTCAGTCTTCGTGAAGATTTTCACTGCCCTTCTTCTTAGATGGTAGTGCACTTCAGGTAGAATAGACTGAAAAGACGACATCTAAAATATATAATGGACAGCATTATTTCACCGAAAGGTCCCAGACTGGTAAATCCCTTTCTACTATTCTGTGGCCTACCTCTATCCAGCCTGCCTACTCCTGTCCTAAATAATAATGAAAAGGATATCAGGATCTAACCAATAGCAGGATGTAATTAACATTTGCTCTTCTCCAATTTAGTGCAGGGGAACTTAATAAATAATAGAATTTGCTCAACGTTGTGGAAAGTATGGCAGTAATATAAACAAAGGTAGTCACACATAATGTTGGCATGCCTTCTGAAAAATTTACAATTTGCTGATTAATAACTTGGGTTGAGGTGACCTATTTCATGGACTAGATTTATATTCCAATTCATATATTCTAGAGCTCTTAAAAAGATACCTTTGTTTAACTGTGATAAAAACATAATAATAAATACATATTTTAAAGGATCTGTGTCAGTGGTATGGTATCAATGATTCTTTTAAGCCACAGTATACTTAGGAAAAGCTCACAATTACTATTACTGAAACAATGAAACGATAAATAGTATTCTCTGAATTATTTCAATGACAAAAGTGTTGATGTCTCACCAAAATAAAAATTGATTATCCTAGATTTATTTATTGTAAATAAATATTATCCCATTTAATGATAAAAACTAGGAAGTATAAACTAGAATGCCATGCACAAAAAACAGATTGCAAATAGTTAAAGTAACCCTAGCCATCAATCCAGAGCTAAGAAGCAAGCATTACTAACATATTAAGTAGTCATTTGTAAATTAGTGAAGTGTTCAGTTCCTGGGGAAATTATCATATTATATGTAGGATCTATCATAAACGGTATTTGGGAAAGCCTGTTATTTTGCCAAATTATTATATACGTTAAATCTTGCCTAATTAGATGCCAAATTGTATACCATAATTCAATTTTTAATGTTACAGTTGTACATTCTGAAATTAAATCTCTTATCTGGCTACTTTTTGCTTTATCACCTTCAAATAGTGACCCAAATAAGGCAGCATATCAGCTCCTGCATTAGGCCCAAAAGACCAACAATAAATTGCATGGAACTTTTAGTTCAAGGCAATGAATAAACAGCACAAGGTGAGCTGTTCCTCTGTCTATAACTGCTTCCTCTTCCCATCCCTGTGCACATATTTGGTTCTAAATATCACTCCTTAAAGTATTTTTCCAAAATATTAATTCATTTAAAATGGTAGAATATTTTGGTGAAGAACAGTTTTAAGTTAAAAAAATTTATGAACATTCGATATTTATAAATCTAGGAAACCACAGTTTTACTAATAAGGCTTTCTTTCGATAACCCCATTTTTATATGGATTTGGAAGTAGCTTTCATTAATTAATATTTCTCTAAATACAAATGGTTGCATAAGGTTTTGTGCTGGTCCTCTCTTCCATTCTTATAAGTAATTTTACTTGGTTCCTATGTAATAAGCTCCAGATACTTAAATTCCATGTTTGTTTTTAACAAATCACGTTGCTGAAAAACAATATGCTAAAAGTTCAAAACTTTCAGTTTCTACTTTTGTTTTTAATATGAAACCACATCTAAATCATTTTCCTATTTCTGCCACTATTTGACTCTGTGAACTTGCTTAAATCACTATCTGACTTCAGCTTCCTTATATAAAATACTCACTTAAAAATATGTGATTTTAAGTGCCAAATTCTTATCAATAAAATGCTATGAGAATCAATGTGAAATGCCACTAAAAGTAGAAAACAGTGTGATAACAACCCATTGATGTGTACTCGTAGAGCAATAGGTTTCCAACAGACAGCAGACAGATGGTGACAGTAAATACTAAATTAAGAGTTACATTATAAAGATTTCTTTCCCCCCATAGCCATTCAAAAGTGTTTTCTCACCTCCATACTGCTAGGCCATACCAAAGAGTATAGTGTATATTTACTAGCCTATGTAGGTTCCATTGTTTTGGTTTTTGTTTCCTTTTTTTTTTTAATATGTGTGTGTGTTCTTGTTTTTTGTCAGCCAAAGGAAAACTACTCACAGCAGGTCAGTGCTGCCTCCTTTGAGTGGCTTGTCAACATGAGTATGTACGAACAGTGGAGTTGTCTAACCTCTGCAATCTTGATGAAGCAACTGCAAATGGAGAAAAGGGCTTTAGAGGGACTTGGATGATTGAGCACAAGATTTCAGATGAGAAAGATTTATTTTCCCTATATAAAGGGGTCCTGAACATATTAGTAGACCTTCTTTCTCTCAGATATAAGCCATAATCCTCTTCTCTAGATCACGTTACTAATGAAAATTTATCCCAATCTAATTCAGCTGAGCTTTAGAGTTGTTATGTATTCCTCCTCAGATGAAGTCTGTAACAGGAGCAGCTCCCCAGGGTGCTTTTGTTTTTGATGCGAAGATAGCTCTTAGAGAACTCATTATGGTGGACTTTTTTTTCCTTCAAGTACTGAAGAACTTCTACATTAATTTTAATTATGTTAAATTCCCCATGAATTATGCTTACATGTTCCACAATATTAACAAGTTATAAGAAATGTAGATCAAAGATCACAGTTTACGTTGGAACTAATTTTAAGAGCCATAATGGCTAAGACTGAAAAGAAATCATGATTCTAGGTGGTTATCTTAATAAAGAGAGTGGGATTATTTTTCTTTACTGGCGCCCAAACAGAAATAATTTTGTGATGACTATTCCAAAGCTGTCTCTCCTCCAGAATGACTGCTTTCTTTTACAAAGTATATAACACAAGTCTAATGTCCACAGAAGGAAATACTAATTGGGAAATTATTGTAGGTTTTGTGTTTGTTTCTCTTTTCATGGTTGTGCTTGTTTATTTAAGGCCTTCTGCCTTGGTCAGAGGTAAAGATATCTATGAATTTGAATTTGTAAGATGACATATAAAACTTGCAGTATTTAAACATGTACAGTGACAGTGGATGTGATTTCTATTTACTACAGACCTTTAGTCCAAATCCAACCTCTAACTTAAACAATTTATTTACTTTGAGAATAGAAGACTAAAGAAACACAAATCATGCAAATGTTTACTGTTCTTCCTCAATGTGGACATTAGCCAAAATTGTTCTTTTTAGAACATAGTAAATTATTTTGGAAATATGAGTAAAGTGCCATGAGTACATGCATTAGCCAGTTTTAGAAAAAAAAGTTTGATTTTTGATGAAAGCAAAGTAAATTTCAAGCAGAGCAAACCAACTAAAGAAAATAATTCCAGAAAGTTAGGCAAGGTCAGAGAATTATACTAGCTTTTGCTAAATAAGCTTTTTACTTTATAAGCCGCAATGCAAAACTACTGTACCATCTGATGTCATTTTCCTTGACTGCCCAGATGTTGTGGTTAACCTAAATCCAGCTGGTAATGTTTCTGAAGACCCGGGCATCATGCTGATTCCATGTACTTCACGAGGAGGAAACTGCCTTCTCCAAGTTGATCCACGTCGGAAATTCTTGTCATCACTCTGCCAGTACAGAGTTATAATTTGATATAATGAAAACAAGTAAACTAGTCCAGGTGTTTAAAGCTGTCAGCTTAGAAACATATATCATAGATGATTTACATTCAGTCAAGTATACATGTGGAATCTTATGCCTTATCTTGAGAGTCCTATGATTCCAAAATGAGAATGTAAGAGATTTGATACAGAAGTGTTTTTATAAAATTTTCCAATTATTTCAGATCTAAGTTTTGACATCTCTACAGTAAACATCTTTGAAAATCTAAAATAAAACCCCAAAGTCTTTCCAAAAGGAATATTGGATATGCTTTGTTATGCTTTATGCTGACTGGTTTGATAGCATGAGATGATGTGCTTAACTGAATCAGTTGTTGAGTAGACTACATTTGACTCAGACACTGAGTGATATCACTTTTATGTACGCACGAGATATATGTTGTGGGGAAACCTGTATTTGAGAAGGCCTGGCTAACATTTGATACTATAGCCTATAATCTATATAAGAAACTCAACATTTATGATTTGTGAGATTTCAGGTGTTGCAGATTAACTTGTAATTTGTTGAAAAACCTGTGCAGTCTGGACATCATCTTTTTAATAAATACATGTGCTCTTTGGGTGCCTCTAAAAGCATAATGTAACTCTAATTACATTTTAATAATGTAATTCTGGTTGCTGATGCTGTTATATCTTAACAAAATAATCTTTTTCCTTCTTTGTGTAAACACAAAGGACTTGTACAGAAAATTATTTTCCTCTAAATTGGTAAGTAGTAATATGTAATTTAGCAGTTAACTAATAGTATTCTTTGTCTCTAATTATAAGGAAAATATTAATCATTCCAAATAGAACTTTTCTTCTTATATCACTACATTTCCCACCTAGGGAAGGACTGACTACTCTCTGAAGTTAATGCCAAGTAGGTGTTGTTTACCCTACTACCTCATTTGACTTCATTTTGGCATAGCAAATAGTAGGTCTATATTCAGCTCAAATTATCATTGTTGTAAATGAATAACACTATAAGTTGGCCTTATCTATAGACTGCTAAAATTAAGTGACATTTAAAGTCAATCAGGGAAAGATAAAATCACATATATAATTATATGTATCCACTATTGGAATCCCTATCATCAATATCTAAATTTTGCTTAGATTTGGTGCCCATTTTACAGGTTAAGAGATGTCTGCTGCTCTTCTTCTCAACTGCTGTGTTGTACATTACCCTAGACCTCCAAATGTTTGTACAGGTAGAAAAGAAACAGAATTTCACAGCTGCAGCCTATCTGACTTCTTGATTCTTGGAAAAGTGATTGCATTAAGCATAAATATTCTTTGGTTCTACAAAATACTGCATTACATTAATGGAGGTATACCACTCCTATAATATATGAGCTAAGGGCTTGAGAACAAGCCAGGAAGTCAAGAATTTGAATTATGATTCCTTGCTTCCACTCTTTCCATATATTGTTACTGCAGAAACTTGAACAAGAACTATAAGCAACATGATGGGGGAAAATCTTTCATGAGATAAGGTTAAAAGATATCCTTTCAGATGAAGTCAAAAGGAAGCACATCAACCTTCTCACATTATCTCAATGGAACATGATCAGCAAAGCCTTGAAAATAAGTCCACTATGAGTCTAAGAAAGTTGTTTGGCTGTTTTTGCTCATACTCAAAAACAAAACAAAACAAAACAAAAAAAAGAATGAAAGAGAACAGAAGGTTGAATAATAAAATTATGTGCTGTGCTTTTAAAAATAAAAAAAGACAGCATATTTTAAAGGCAGATAGCCACATCCCATTTAATTGGCTCAACAGACCTTTCTGCTTGTTCATTACCATCAGGAAATTTAAGAAATAAGCACATTCCTTATTAAAATGCTGAATTTATCAATATTTGTGTATTAACTGCTTATAATTTTTAAAGATATGTTGTTTAACATTTTTCAATCACAGATCATAAAACAGTTTCTTTACAAATTACTTTTAGTATTTCTAACTGCTGAGATAATATTTATGAAATCATAAAGTTCTTTTCAAAGTTGTTAGTAATATAATTTGATATTTAAGAACTATCCTGAGAAAAATTCTAGATTCTATGCATAGAACAAGCATGTGATTAATTTCCAAGCACTATTTCTTAAAAACAAGGTTACCACATTTTTCTTATCCTCTCTTAGATCCCTTTCGAATGACAGGTAAGGACTTACTTCATCTAGTCGCCGCTCGGTTCCCAGGGCCAAGAGGTTATTGTATTCCCTTTCAAGGATCTGCCTTGCCTGTGGACATCAAATCACAGTTACCATCACTGAAATCACATTTTCTTATAAAAAAATCATACAGATTATATTTATCTGAGAATGCATTAAAAAGTATGTTGTATTTATGAGTTAAGATATTTAGTCCTCTATATCTACAGGTCATTGTAAATTTTAGCTACAAAGACTATGCAAGGCAATTTTCTTTTGTCTGTGGACAGTAGCAGGACAGCCTTACATAAATGTCTGAGGCCAAGAGGCTTTGACTTCACTCTGTTACTTTATTCCAATTCAGTATTTTATATAAACTTTGAAATATGTCAAAACAAAATAAAAAGTGAAGCTGGACTGCCAAATTTTTATCCAGTGTATGCAGGTAGCTCTCAAACCTGACAATGATCATCATTTGGAGAAACTTCAGATAAGGATTTCCGTGCTCTATCTCTTGATGTCTGATTTCTTAGGACTACGATGTAAGTTGAAAGTTTTATTTTCAACTTGTAAGGAACTGTATTGATTCAAATAATTATCCAGATTTAGGAATTATTGGCATGCAAATGCAAGTGCCTGTATAATTCAGACAAGTAAATTGAAATGACTGCCCCTCAGCGAGGCAGAGACTGAAGGCCATCTGTCAGGGATTTTGTTTCGGGGAATCTGGCAAAATGTGTTTTGGGAGGTTGGGCCACATAACCTCTAAATTTTTTTCTGTTTAATTTTATGATTTTGTTTTGGCTAGAAATCCAGTAGCTTAAAATTAAAACTCCAGTGACATATTTCTAAGGTTGAGCTAATTTCATTAATAATCATGAATACACAGACTTTTTTTTTTTCTGATAGTTTGTCATATAAACCAGGACACAATGAGACTATAGCAAAAAAGGATACTTGCCTGGGTGTTCTGTGTTGGAATCTGTAATAATAAAGCTAAGCTGCTGTAGTCAAAGTTCTCATCCAGGGCTATAAGTGAGCCATGCACACCACTCTCAAGAATATTATTTGCATATTCCCGAAGTCCAATTGCTTGTATCCAGCGAATAACTCGATCATTGCTCCACACCAACACATCTAGAAAAAGAGTTGTATCAGTTTAGGCTGCAGTATTTTGCATAATAGAACCACTGGCTGAAATGAACCATAGGTATCTGGCCAGGCTGCATTTATGCTGATCGATCCACTCTCTAATGCACCTGGCTCCATTCTGTTGCATGTGATTACTGCTCTAATAACTACTAACCTTTTCTATTCTAAGTCTAGAAAAAAGTTGGCATTCTCAGAGTGTTTGTTATAATTAAAATGAGGGCACTTCCATCACATGGAACACAGTGTCTCAATGTGTTTCTTGTTTTCATACTTGAGCCTTACAGGTCATCTGAAGTTTAATGTTTTTACCACCAGATGGAGACATTTCTTATTTGTGTCTTGATAACATACCAGTAAACAGCAAAATGAGATTCTAATAAAATACTAACATTGTCCTTCATCAGAAGTGTTTATTAACCTCTACTTAAATATTGCATATAGACTAGAAGACACTTTTTTCACTTGAATTAATATATAAAAACAGAACAGTAAGACAATAAAGAGACCCAATAAATTGATATCTTACTATTGTCAATTCATTATTTTCCAGTCACACACTAACACACAATTCGGGCACTCAGTCAAAGGTCACAAGTTGTTTTTGCTTTTTTGAAAGGAGTTTTTAATTGAGGTACAAAACACTTTTATTTTTATTTTCTAAAAATAAAACCTTTAGAGAAAGATTTTTTCCTGTGCCTTTTTTTAGACAAAAACATATCAAAGTATATTTTATCAGGTATTTTCTTCCATTTCTTCCCATTATGAGCTGGCAGAATGCTATATAAAAACCAGTAAAATAATCAGAAGGACCAGAACTTTCCACAGAAAAGAAATAATTTTAAGGAACTTAAAGGGATGTGAGAAAAAAAAATTAAAACATTTTTTTCCTACCTGTAGAAAGAAAAAGAAAAATATAATTACTATTAAGGTAAAAGTATATTTTCCTGTTAGTTTTTTTCTTTCTGAATGAAAATTATACCTTTATTCAGAAAAAGCATAAAAAGTATTTTGTGAAATATTCTTCAACTTCGAAGGTTTATTTTCTCTTATATTTAAATTATCTGCAAAATCAGAGAAGTATGTGGGGGTTGAGGGGCAATGTATTTTTATATTGTTTAAGTTTTTCAAAAACATAATTAATTTGGCCTGATGTATTAATTTATAACCAACTTAGGTTTTCTTGTGCAGAACAGTAAAGCAATAAAGTGATACAGTCCCACAGAAGTCCCCTCATGTACCTCCTTAATCACTGCCCTCACCCCAACAGTAAGCAATACTCTGACTACTTTCATTACAGATTAGTTTTGCCTGACTTTTTTTTAGCTTTTTATAAATGAAATCATATAATATGTACTATTGTGTCTGTATTTCACTCAATATGAGATTCATCTGTGATTCGGCAAATAGCAGTGGCTTATATATTTTCATTGCTATTTATTTAGTATTCCATTATATGATTATGCCACAATGATGGATATCAGGTGGATTCCACTTTGGGTTATTAAGGATAGCCCTGCTTTGAATATTGTTATACATGTATTTTGTTACATATATTTACATACTACAGTTGAGTAACTAACAAGGAATAGAATCATTAAGTTATGTAGTATACATATATCCATTATTAGCAGATATTGCTAAACAAATTCCACTATCATAATTTAACTCTGTACTAGTAATGTACGAAAATCCATACCTTCACCAATACTTTGTATTTTTCACTTTGAGTTTTGTTGTTTAGTTTTTTTAAGCCATTATGGTAAATGTGTGGTGTTATAGGTTAAATTCTGTTCCCCCTAAATTCATGATGAAGCCCTAACTCCCAGAACCTCAGAATGTAACCTTATTTGGATATAGGGTTTTTATAGAAATGATCAATTTAAATGATATTATTAGGGTGCGCCCTAATTCAATATAACTGGTATCCTTCTTAAAAAGAGAAATTTGGAAACACACACACATAGAAAACACTACGTGAAGATGAAGGCAGTGATCGGGGTGATATGCTTATAAGCCAAAGAACACCAAAGAGTGCCAACAAACCACCAGAATCTAGGGGAGAGACAAGAAACAGATTCTTCTTCACAGCTCTCAGAAGGAACCAACCCTGCTAACACCTTGATCTCAAACTTCTAGCCTCTAGAACTGTGAGACAGCGATTTTCTGTTATTTAAGCCACACAGTTTGTGGTACTTTGTTACAGCAGCCCAAACTAATATAATTGGTATTTCATTGTAGTTTGATCAATAACTCCCCTTATGATCATGAAAATATCTACTACTTTTAGATCTGTCAGTTTTTTTTTTATTTCAGCATATTACTAGGGTATAAATGCTTAGGTTACATATATTTCCTTTGCCCTACCCGAGTCAGAGCTACAAGTGTGTCCATCCCCCATGTGGCGCGAACTGCACCCATTAGGTGTGAACATAGCCATCCCTTCCTCCCCCTCCCACCTGCCCAACATCCGACAAATATTACTACTATATGTGTACATAAATGTTGATCAATTAACACCTATTTGATAGTAAGTATATGTGGTACTACTTTTTCCATTCTTGTGATAATTGCACTTAGTAGAATGGGCTCCAGCTCTATCCAGGTAGTGTAAGAGGTGCTAGATCACCATTGTGTTTTGTGGCTGAGTAGTAATCCATGGTGTACATACACCACATTTTATTAATCCACTCATGTGTTGATTGATGGACACTTGGGTTGTTTCCACATCTTTGCAATTGTGAAGTATGCTGCTGTAAAAATTCTAGTGCAGATGTCTTTTTTATAGAATGTCTTTTTTTCCTTTGGGTGGATACCTAGTAATGGGATTGCTGTCAGTTTTTGCTTTTCATATTTTAAGTATATGCATTAGATGCATACAAATTTGCTATATCTCCCCTTTTATTATCATACAATACCCAGCTTATTTCTAGTATGTTTCTTGCCTAAAGTCTATATGTTATTAGAAGAATCACAGCAGCTTTGTTTAGTATTTGCATGTGTATCTCCTTTACTTTTACCTTTTCTATGTTCTTATATTTAAAGTGTGTCCATTGTATTCACCATATCATTGTTTTTATTTTTCACATACATTTTAATTGTATTAGTCCACTCCCACTTAATATTATTACTCATATATTTGAGTTTAAATCTACCATCTTTATATTTGTCCTACCTGTCCTTTGTTCCTTTTCTCTTTCTTGCCTTTTTATTATGTGTTTTCTTATTTTATTCCACCACTGTATTAGCTTTTTATTTTTACTTTACATTCTTATTTTAGTAGTCAATTTAAAGCTTTTTTATTTATTTATTTATTTTATTTTATTTCAGCATGTTATGGGGGTGCAGATGATTAGGTTACGTATGATGCCCTTACCTTAAGCTTTTAATATGTATCCTTAATTATTAGAGTCTATTATAAATTAGTCTTTTTATCATTTCCTAGATAATGCAAAGACCTTCAGTTTAGTTTCATTAACTCCCTTCCTGCCTTTTGCATTATAGTTTTTATGTATTTTAAGTCTACATAAAATGTAAGACCTGCAGACATAATTATCGTTTTTATTATTATGAAATTTACCCACACATTTTTTCAGTTCCCCCTCCATCCTGTCTGCGTTTTTTATTGTCTTTATGATCATTTACCTTTTGCCTAATAACTCATCCTAATATTTCCTTTCTATTTAGCTTTTCTGGGGAAGCATTCTCTCAGATTTTGTTTGTCTGAAAGTGTATTAATTGTGTCTTTAATAGCGATAGACATACTTCTAATTTAGAAGTTAGTTTGATTTAGAATTTTAAGGATATTGTTCCATTTTCTTCTAACATTATTTTAGTTGAACATCAGGTATCTCATATTGCTCTTTTAAAACTATTGTGGAATTTAGTCTGACAGATTCTTAGATTTTTAGGGAGTGCAGGTCATATTTTTCAGCAGTTTTACTACAATCTGTCTGATTTGTTTTGTTTTGTTTTGATTTTTCTCTTTTCTTTTTTAATCTTTTCTGGGGTCCTTGAGTATCTTCAATCTGTGGCTTATTATTTCCTTTAGCTTTTTTTAAATTATTAAGTCTCCACCAGTATCTTTTCAAATATTGCTTCTTCTTCATTTTCACTCACTTTATCATGTTCAGTATGTCCCTAATGATCTGTTTAATATCCTTCATCCTTGTGTTTATTTTCATATTTCAGGCCAGATATTTTCAAGTGATCTTTTATTTCATGTAACTTCTCTTCTATGATTAAACCACTTATTGAGTTCTTAATTTAAGTTTTTATACTTTCCACATTTTCAAATTTCCATTTAATTATTTTCTTAAAATATTGATTCCAGCTATATTAAATTTTTCCGTTTTGTCACTAATTTTCATAATACTCACAAAAAATCAGTGTCAGAGTCAACTGTGACTATGTTTCTATTTTCTGATTTTATTATCTTGGTTTTCTTCATTTTGCACATTGTCTGCATATCTGATTTTTTTAATGAATTTCAGACAATGTGATTGAAAACTTGTAGAGGCTCTGGATGATGTTCACTTCTTCTTGAGGGAATTTTCCTTTTATGTTGTTAGGCAGTTACAATAAGGGCAGGTCAACTTAACCTAATTAAGAATTTAGACAAGTCCATGCTGGATTTCAATTTTAACCTTTCAGAATAAAGCCTGGTAATCTCCTTCATCATAGTAATCATTTTACTATCTATATGTATCTTATAACATCATGTTGTAAACCTCAGATATTAACACAATAATATCTATTTAAAAAAACTAAATAAAATAAAAAATAAATGAATAAAGCCTGATCTATTTAAGTTTGTCCTTAGTCCTATGGTGTATTTCTTCAGATATCTCAAATTAAAGTATATTTGGTGGTTTTGACCTCTGATTTTTGACTCTATCATCATGAGATTGCCAAAAGCTCTCTTTCTAGATATCCTAACCTTTGGCTTCTGCTTTCTGTTCAGTTTTTAGCTTCTATGTCCATCCTTCTTGGGATGGACCTCTCAAGAGGAAAGTTGTATAAAATGTCAGGCTTACTTGTTTCCCTTTTCCCCAGGATCTTGGCTACTCAAGGCATGGCAGCTTTGGTGCCTCTAAATTCCAATCCCCCCACACCCCAACATCCCATCCCCTACTGGTCTGTGAGACAGGGAAATGTAGTAGAGAATGACAGGTTTACCATTTACCTCAATGCATTTCTCTCTTTTTCAAGATCATAGTCTCTCAAGCTTTGGCTGTCTTAGTTCATTTTTATTATCTTCAAAGAGCTACTTATTGATTTATCCAGGCTTTTTATCTGCTCTTGGTTGAAGATTGGTCTGATTCAACATACTTCATTACAGTCAGAAGTAGAAGCTCTTCAAATTAGTTTTTGCTCTTTCTGATTCTTCTAATCTATAGTGCTGATAAACCGTTTGTATATGAATCTGGAAGCTATAGGTATATTTGCCTCACATTTCGATAGTTAACTCCCGCTGTGGCTTGAACAATCTCATTTCAAAAGAAAGATCCTAAGGCTTTCTTTGGATTAGGTAATGAGGAATATGTGAGGAATACCCACTTCCCACAGTCTTATTACTATTACCTGCTCCATCCAAAGCAGGGTGAATTTCTGCAGGAAGTAGGACATTTATTAACCCCTCAGGGTTTTGTCTCTTTCTCTCCCCATGTCTTCTGTAGAACAAAGGACTTCCTTAATGATCTTTACTATATATGGCAATTTTATATTAGACATATTCACTGTCACTCTGGGTCAGTACTGAAGTATAGAGAGATTTTCCTCTGCGTTTTCATTAGCTTGTTCAGTTGAGGTTTTAGACCTCAGAAAATGAGATGTGAGTTGGTTGGTATTATATTTTGGCTATATTATCAGATACTGTGGATAGTAACTGATTCTTTGTAACCACTAGTTACCCTATACTTGAATTTCAAAATCTGGGGAGGCATGTATGGGTGACAGCAACAGTGCTCCATTTGATTTTACTAAAAACATTTTTTTAAATCAATGGGACATCAAAAAAATAAACTACAAAATTGTCCAGTTTTCTTTGCACTAGATGGATTTTTGAATAGGGAGTGTTTGCTTTTTCTAAAGCTGGGTTTATATTTTGATAGTCTAAGGCTTATTATATAGTCATCATATTTCTGCAAATATATGCCCATCAAGAATTCCATTGCTACACCTGTAGTTAAGAGTGATCAAATATATAAAGCAATCCATTTATGGGTACTCCATTTATGGAGTAAAGGAAAATGAAGCATAAATCCAAACTTTTCCTCTTTAGAACAACATACCCTTTTTTAAATTTTGTAAATTGTATCCCTTTCTACAAATCTGTTTCCAAGTGAAATGAATGCCGACTTTAAAGCATTGTAGGAATCCTCCTGACCTAACAATAAATGCCTAGAAATCAGTGTTGACTGTTTCCTAGCAACAAATTAAATATTAGCATATTCTTGCTAGTCACATGGTCTCCTCACCTCAGAAAACTGTTCATTAAGGTCAAGGTTAATTAACACTTCAGATAATAACAGAGACCCCTAGTCATAGTTGATAACTATTCCTGTAAATGTCATCAGATCAGTTATAGGAAACGGGCTGTTTATGATCTCACTCACAGCTACTTATCATATGGAGTTGTTTGTGTATAATCACAGTGAATCACAGCAATTTTTTCTCATGTCTACACTCTAACCACCAATTGCCAAATACTAATATAGCATTTGGGGTATGGCCAAATGGGTAATTTCTCCCCTTTCGGTCTATCAGTGTGTGAAGGCTTTCACGTAGTGAGCCTCAGCGTAATAAAATCTAATTGGAAAAAGTACTTGAGAAAGAAAACTACAAAGTGGTATCCCATGGGTAAAATCTATTTGTGTACTAAAACATCCTTTGTTTGGTCAAATGCAAACTTCCTTCTGGGGCCTGTCTTGATCCATTAGTTCCCAAATTTCAATTCGACTGAATAGCAATGAACTGAAAACAACCCGCAATTTCCTGGCACCCCAAAATAAAGTGAAATCGAACAACTTGATTTTGATAATGGAAAAACTCTTTCTTGTTCCTAAGGAATGAGTCAAATGAAGTGTTACAAGAAATCCATTTTGTGTCTGACTACTTTCCAGTGAACGATATGTAGAAAAATATTTTAACCAATCAATTTCACATGCATTCAAGCCCATTCTATTAGAACTAACGCACTGTCCAAGAACTGCCAAAAGTAAAAGTAATTTCTGACATTATCACAAATGAAAATTATAAAAGCCTAAGATAGATAATCTTAAATAAAGAATAAAATAGTGCTAAATTTAATATTGAGAAAGAGGAAGGTAACATGTAATATGTACTCTTTTCTTATCTAAAGTTAAGTCCTAAAAGAAGTGAAGATGAAAACAGAGACTCATGGCTAACTTTGAACAATCAGTGTAATGTATCCACTGAATGTGACAAAGTGTTTCCACATACCCATTCCATGGGTAACAGGAACTGGAAATATAACTGGTAAGTAGTTCAATATCCAAATTTTTCCATAATATTTGTGGTTATATTTTCCTTAATAAGCCTTTTTGCTTCTTTAAACAACAAAAGTGGATCGATTATTGTTATTAAAAAGGCCTACAGATATTTATATCTTATATCCAACAATTAATTTTCTTCTTCAACAACAGCAATAATAAAAATGCAATGATCTTTAACAAGTATAGCACCTATATTCCTCTTTGAAACCATTTTTCCCCTGTATATTAAGGTACAGCTCAAAATATAGATGGTTAATTACTAAATACAGTACTTTTCCATTAAATCTGCAATAAAGTATCTATTCTTATTAGTCCAATCAAACATTTTTATAAATGTAGCAGTTGCAGGAATTAATGCTCCTAAAATTATTAAAGGACTAGTCTAGTTTATAGGAGAAAAGCCTTATATAATTTCTGTATAATATTCCTATATAATTTCTTTAATTTTACAGTATCCCAAAAACAAAATATCTGGGCACTGAAATAAAATTCAAATGATATAAACCAAAAAATGAACTGCCATAAAAAATGATATACCATGTTCCTCTGAATTATAATGAGAATATTCCATTAAAAGTTTGACAAAAATATCTATACGGAGACATCTTTAGTACAAGCAGAATACATAATTAATAGGTTCCGAGGGATAAGTCTCAATTCAAAAAATCAAAAATATTCCTCAAATGGGATATTTGCCCTAGAATGTGATGTTATAATTTCTGTATTTTAATCAGAAAAGTAATGAAAAATCATGATAAGCTTAATACTTATGCTGCTTAATGACCATTGTAACACATACAGCATTTCAGGTTCATAAAAGTGAAAGCTAAAAATGCTAGAGAAAAGGCATTTCATATAAAAAAGGGCATGTTACCTTTTATTTCGTGTTGGCTTGCTTCCCGTCTTCTTTCTAGTTCTTTTCTGTCATAATTCAACCTCTTTAAGCACATAATTCCATACTGCAAACTGGTTCTATTATTTTTTAAAAAAAGGAAAACACACCGAATTTACTCAGGAGGTAAAGAAAGTTCTTTGATTAGGCATAGTCAACACTAGGCACTGCTTTTTAGGGCAACAGGTTAATAAATTACATTTACAATTAAATCCTTCAGTATTGGAAGGACACAAATTTATAATTATGTTAATCACACAATGTTTCCAAAAGCATAAAAAAAAATTTTCAAAATAAGGAAAACATAGTTTTTAAAATAATCATTTATCTTGTTGTTCCTCAATATGTCTTTGTCTTCCATGTAGCTATTTCTATATTATGTGCAGACAAATTAATATTTTATTCATTTGAAAAGAATTTAAAATCCCCATTATGGAGAAAGCAAGAAATTTATAAGAAATGGATACTCTCTTCTTAAGCTGTTAAGAAAAATAACATAAACAATGAATTAGTTAGTAATAAAATAGAGAACTGAATATTAAAATGAATAGCCCACAACTCTAAATGCTACAGAAGTATCTAAAAAGAACAAGTCAGCAGATACTGCAATTGTGCATGAATAGGATACTGTGGAAGAGCAGCAAATTGCTCCTGAAGGAATCAGGTAGCAGAGAAAGGACTATGAAATAAAATGGAGCATCATGAATAGGATTGCAGACGAAATTTTAAAGTTGTGGTGATAGTGAGACAGTGTCCAACATTGAAAAGCCATGTTAAGAAGGAATACAACTACATTTGGAAAGTAGGAGTATATTAAGGAAAGCCTGGTATTTTGTGTAAATGTGAAATACATCCAGGTGATAGAGAATTATTGGACAATTTTCAGAGGTGGAAGACATGACAATGAAAGTTTTTTTTTAAGGAAGAATAGTCTGGTAGCAAAATAGGAGATGGAAAATAAGTAATCCCAGGAGACAGGGAAACCAATTAAGGGGTCAATGCTGCCAAAATAAGGACAACAGCCATGAGCATGAAAAGAAAATCCAGAGAACAGAGATGTTTAAAGAGAGGAAATGAAAAGATTTAGTGATATTAAACATAAAGGATGTGGAAGAGTATGATAGGAAAAAATATTAATAATCTCTAGGTTTCAAGAATAAAGATCAATGACTATCAATGATGATAGTTACTGATATCATCACTGATATCACATAGGACGTAGATACTATGTGATATCTCAAGTGTTTAGGAATATACACAAATTTAGATATACACATTGACCAGGCTACACTTAGGTGATGGATGCATTTTTAAGCCCTACATTTTAATAAAAACAATGGTGAGTCAAATTTTTCAGAATCAGAGAAAAATGGAAACAAAACGGCATTAGGTAGGTATTATGGGCTGAATTGTGTTTCCCTAAAATTCATATGTTGAAGCTCTAACCCTCAGTACCTCAAACTGCGACTGTTTTGGAGATAGGGCCTTTAGAGAGGTAATTAAGTTAAATGAGGCCATTAGGCTAGGCCCTGATGTAAACCAACTGGTGTCCTTATAAGAAGAGCAAATTTGGACACACTGAGACACCAGGAATGTGCACTCACAGAGGAAAGATCACGTGAGCACACAGAGAGAGAGCGGTCGGTCTTGGGCAAGCCAAGGAGAGAGGCCTCACAAGAAACCAGACCTGTCAATGCCTTGATCTCTAACATCCAGCCTCCAGGACTGTGAGGAAATAAATTTCTGTTATTTGAACCACCCAGTCTGTGGCATTTTGTTATGGCATTCCTAGCAAACTAATTTGATGAAACACTAAATAATACTTGTATAACAACCATCATAGATATTAGGCAGGTTGAGATTAAACTAATGGTTCTTTGCTAGTTTCTGCCAAGTTTTTATATGTAATACAAAATTGTACAAAAAGAGGATAATATTGTGACAGTATCTTTCAGATGGAAAACAGGTTGAAAATGTAACGTGCAGTCGCGTAATACCTGTTTTAACTCAGAGATGAGCGTAACATAAAAATGAAGCTTGCATATTTCCCAGAACAAATAAGAACCCTTGATATTTGAGTCATTTTTATTGTTTTAAAATTTTATCATTATAAAAATCATTTTTACTAAAATAATAAAGCAGTACTAAAAGTCAATCTAGTGAAGAATGAGAAAAATGGACCCAAGTGTGTTATCAAAAATTCTAAATACAAGTCTAATGCAACCACATAAAATTTGAAGGCCTAAACTTTCACTTATAGGGAACTCACTCACTACCTTACAATGTATACCATACACGGCAATTGAGATTGGTACCCAGGTGTTTTCTCTAGTGAACAGAAATCACTCACCCTAGTATCTACATCTATATGAACTAGAAAAGTACATGCTCAACAAAGAAATTTTTTTTTACCATATAGTAATGATCTTAAAACATAAGAAAACTTATCTAAGTTTTCTTTCATCTGAGTCAAATCTGTATAATTTCCTCAAGCTTTCCACCAAATTTTTACCACTTTATCAATAATAATTTAGGGTCGATAAATGAATTCAATTTTTTAGTTATTTCACTCCATGACATTTTTGTTGTACCTGTCAATAAACATAACCTAATTATGCCTTGTCAAGGTATTAACCAATACTGAGATTTTTGTGTCAACTATAAATACCATATCTTTTTCACATAAGCTAATATTATATTAAATCATGAATTTGTCATCCAGCATTTTAATAGTTTTTTAAAACTGTTATATTTATCTCTACTAAATTTAATCCAACAATGTCCACAACTGCCTTAAAATTCAAAATATCTCCATAAGTTGGAATGAAAAGCCAAAATTATTATCTTTTTATCCTAATTTTATGTCAGCAACAGATCTAATTTTTATATCATTTTCATTCTAGTCACTGATTAAATGGTGGACTGAATAGCACCAAACAAAGTCTCCTAGGCCAAAATTATCTAGATTTAGGTTTAGTATTATTTAATTTATCACCATAATCAACTATATATGAAGCAAATAATCAAAATCCAGCTGACATTTTAATATAAACATAGCATTTATGATATGGTATTAAAACAACTTTTTTAAGTGCTAGATGATAAAAACTTGAAAAAGGAGATTGCATTTCATTGCAATTTTTTGTGCACATATATTTCCATAGACTCTGGGCATATAATATGCATATGCACATAGCTCTACATTAGATAGTCCTTGCAATTTGCTGCATGAAAATATTTTTCCAAGTAGATGTACACAAATGTTTCAAATAGCACATATTTTCTATCACATAAATATCAATTTTTGTTTTA